TTCTGTTCTCCCCCTCCATCCCATCCCACTGGCACATCCCTGCTCCAGGTTGACTCCAGACAATTCCTGCTCCCAGCCCTGCTCTCTCCCTCCATCCCACCCCACTGGCACATCCCTGCTCTGAGCCAACTCCAGACCATCCCTGCTCTCAGCCTTGCCTTCACCCTCCATCCCACCCCACTGGCACATCCCTGCTCCAAGTTGACTCCAGGCCATCCCTGCTCCCAGCCCTGCTCTCCCCCTCCATCCCACACCACTGTCACATCCCTGCTCCAAGTTGACTCCAGGCAATCCCTGCTCCCAGCTCTGCTCTCTCCCTCCATCCCACCCCACTGGCACATCCCTGCTCCAAGCTGACTCCAGACCATCCCTGCTCCCAGCCCTGCCCTCACCCTCCATCCCATCCCCCTGCTCCAAGCCAACTCCACACTCTCCCTAATAACTGTGAAGTTCATTTCCCAAAAAGGGGGATGTTTTCCTCAATTTCTATGAATTTTGACAGGTTCCTGCAGGGGAGATTTAATAAGCTGGGGATGGGAAAGCCAAGGCAATGTGGCTTTGCTCCTCCTGAGCACCTTCCACACGTGCATTTCCGAGTCCTTTATCAGCACCCACGGGATTAACACTCCTGGGAGCCCAGAGAAGAGGAGATTCACCCTCTTTATGGAATGGGATAACGAATCCATGCAGGATCCTGAAAACTAGCTGAGATAGGGAACTTAAACTTGAGAGAGACTGAGTCATCCCATCACCCCCACCAAGTGTCCTGCAGCACATCCCAGAGCTGCGATTTGCTGATCCCGAAGTTACACCGAAGAGCTAAAACTCCTTGGAAAGCTCCTCGGAAAACACATGGAGCAGCAAAGCAGCTGGTTCCTGGCAAGCTCCCAGGAACCTCCTGAAAGAACATGTTGGGTTTTCGAGCTCTTTGCTGGAGCTCATCCTCCCATCTCGGGGACAATCTGTGCCATCGGGAGGAGACCACGGCTCCTCTGCCAGGGAATGATGACAGTGTCTGCCAGGGCTGCTGCAAAGAGATGCTTTTGGAAGGATGACAAGGACTTATCAGAGCTGTCGGCCATGGAAGGGTTGGTTGGACAAGAGCTGGAGGTGACAAGAGGGTGAGAACGAGGGTTTCAGGCTCCACCTTTCCTTGTGTTGCTAAAAGCCCGAGAAATTCCACCTCAATTCCTGGCAGGACCAGAGAAGGGGAAAAGAACCCGTGAAGGCTCGAGCTCAGAGATGAGATACAAAGCAAAATCGGAGAGGAGGATGGAACTGCTGCTCCAGAAAGCCCCACAGTGCTTTAAACTGAATCATCAGCCACCAAAAAAGGTTTCCCAGGAAGTCCCGCTGCTCTCCCGCCTGGAGCTTTCACGCTGCTCCGATTCTTTTAAAGTTCTTCTTAAAACTAAAATCCTCACTGTGGAAGTTGGTGAATTCTGGGAAAGACCTGCCTTCTACCAACTTGCTCAGTTCTCCAGCAGGTCAAGAGGGAGGGACAAATTAAAACCTGTACCTTGAATCTTAAATATGGTCTGAGTTCTTTCTCCTTGGACCTCTCAGAGTCTCAGGGTGGGGAGAGTTAAAAGCCAATTTAACGGCAACAGAAGCTCAGGGTTAATGGACACAGGCAGGGAAAAGGCACCTGGCCTGGAAAAAGGTTTCATCTGAGTCTTGACAAGACCAAAATGCTCCATTTTCTCCCCTTCAGAAGCAGGTTCACCTCATCTCTGGGTGCCCTGAATCCAGGGCAAGGGATGGAGCTTTCACACTGCTCCGATTCTTTTAAAGTTCTTCTTAGAACTAAAATCCTCACTGTGGAAGTTGGTGAATTCTGGGAAAGACCTGCCAACGAGTTCCTTGCTCAGTTATCCAGCAGGTCAAGAGGGAGGTACGAATTAAAATCTGCACCTTGAATCTTAAATATGGTCTGAATTGTTTCTCCTTGGACCTCTCAGAGTCTCAGGGTGGGGAGAGTTAAAAGCCAATTTAACGGCAACAGAAGCTCAGGGTTAATGGACACAGGCAGGGAAAAGGCACCTGGCCTGGAAAAAGGTTTCATCTGAGTCTTGACAAGACCAAAATGCTCCATTTTCTCCCCTTCAGAAGCAGGTTCACCTGATCTCTGGGTGCTCTGAATCCAGGGAAAGGGGTGGGTTGTAGGGGAGAAGCGATTCCTCAGGGATCAGGAGTGATGCACGAGATGCTCAGCTCCCAAAAGCAATAATTAAAAAGGAGATCAAGTGAAGAAATGGGAATAATCCCCCTGATTTCCCAAGCTCAGTCCTGTGTTCTCAACCTCACAACAATGAAAGAGGAAGATTAAAAGAATAATGAGCTTCTGGAGCGTCCCCAGAGCTGCTGATCTAGGGAAAGTGTTTGGAAAGGTTTGCTGGAGCTCCAAGCAAAGATGTGAGAGCAGGAGAAAGGGTCATCCTGGGACAGTGTTTTGTTGGAATACCTGTTCCCAGGAGGCTTTAGCCACCCCTTACACAGGAATTAGGATCCTGGCCAGCTTGGGATTGTGTGTGATGCCAAAAACCATGGAATCATGGAATGGTTTGGGGTGGAAGGGATCTTAAAGACCATCCAGTTCCACCCCCTGCCATGGGCAGGGACATTTCCCACCAGCCCAGGTTGCTCCAAGCTGGCCTTGGACACTTCCAGGGATCCGGGGGCAGCCACAGCTTCTCTGGGAAATCCATTCCAGGGCCTCACCACCCTCTCAGCCAGGAATTCCTTCCCAATATCTAACGCCCAATCAGGGAGGAAAAAAGGGCTTTGAGGAGAAGATTCACCAGACCCAGACCAGCTTCTGGACTCAGAAAATTCCGAAAGCATTTCCTTTCCCAGCTTAGGGTGGGACACGTGTTTCCCACTAGGAAAAAACACCGAAGTGAGGACATCAGGTAGAACTCTGGAGGGAGGGAGACTGTCCCTGCTCTGTGCTGCTGGCACTGCTCCTTCCTGGGGCTGGCACTGCCCACCCGAGCTGTGGGACAAAGTACAAATCCACTGGGATCCCACAGAGGTCAGAACTCCCTTTTCCATGACCCCACTTCCATAACCCACACTCTCCTGGCCTCCCCTGAGCCTGTTCCTGAGGGCTGAATTCCGTGGTTTTATTAAGGAGATCCCAACCAAAGGCCACTTTCCAGCAGCAAGGAATAATCTTGCTGTGCAGGGGGGTAAAAAAGAAGCAGGGAAGGAGCACAGAGACACCTTTAAATCACTCAGTGGGAAATAAACAGGAGACAAAGCTGCTGCCGAGGAAAATCCATTGCTCTCCACGTCCCAATCCTGCCCCAAATTCTGCTCCCTGGTGGAGGCAGCCCCGTGAACTCCTGCCCTTTCTCTTGGACAGCAAGGTTGGAAAAAATGCCTCCCTCCTCAAGGAGAAAAAAAAAAAACCTCCCAAATTGCAGGCGCTGGGTTTGTCGAGCCTGGGGTTGGGATTGACAGGGTTGGTGTTTCTTGTGGTGTCACACTGAAAAATGCCACTAATGGGTGTCATGTGCTGTTTGTTTTCTCATCGTGTCCCCCAGGAGCAAAGAGGGTTTGGAAGGGATTTTACAGACACCAAAATAGGAAATGCTGCTGGAGCAGAGAGGAGAGGGGACCCGGCCCCGGGGCAGGGATGGGGACACTCTGGTGGCACTGCCTGTGCCAGCACTGCTGCCCCCACACTGCACAGATGGGGGACACACCTCCTCCTCCTCCATCCCAAATCCGCTCCCTGCCCTGATCCAGCCGGGAAAGAGCCTTTCCCGTGGAAGGCAGGATGTGAGAACCACCAGCCACTCCATCAGTGTCCCCACTGCCACTGGGGGGGACAGTGGGACACGAGGACCAACCCCACATCTGCCGGGGCTCAGCACCCCCAAAAACAGCTCCCCACCCGCCTTGGGGGCTGCAAGAGGGGGGGTCTCACCCCCAGACCACCAAGGGGGCGACACAAGAAGGTCTCAGCCCCCCCTAAACCGGCTCAGAACCCCCTCGTGCTTCATCTCGAGACCCCCAAAGCCTCAGTCCCCCCTCGCGCTTCATCCCAAGACCCCCAAATTCCCTGAGATCCGAGGAAACGCTCGGCACCACCAGACCACCCCCAGCAAGACCAACCCCGAGGGGTCTCCCTGCAAAGGGGGGGCACAGTCCGGGGGATCCCCCTCCCCTCTGGGCTCGCCCTCTGCCCGCCGGGCTCATCGCCCTTTTAAGAGCCCCCGCAGCCCCCCCCACGCGTGTCACCGGTCACGGGGGGGCTGGAGATGGAGGGGGGAGAGGGGCAACACCCCCGTCCTGAGCTGAGCCCCCCGTGTGCCTCCCCAGCGCTCCTTTAAACTCCTCAAAGCAACGAGAGTGGGGGGGAGCCCACGAGGGACCGCCCCAGGCAGGGGGAGAAACGTGGGGAGGGAAAGGAGAGGGAAAAAAGGGGAAAAGGAGAGGAAAAAGGGAAATGAGGGTGAGAAGGGGAGAAAAGAAGGAGGGAAGAAGGGAAAAAGGGGAGAAGGGAAAAAGGGAAGGAGGGAAGAAGAGGAGAGGGGGAGAAGGAAGAAAGAAAGAAGGGAAGAAGGGGAGAGGGGGAAGAAGGGAAAAAGAGAAGGAGGGAAGAAGAGAAGGAGGGAAGAAGGGAAGAAGAGAAGGAGGGAAGAAGAGGAGAGGGAGAGAAGGGAAGAAGAGAAGGAGGGAAGAAGGGAAGGAGGGAAGAAGAGGAGAGGGGGAGAAGGGGAAAAAGGGAGAAGAAGAGAAGGAGGGAAGAAGGGAAAAAGGGGAGAAGGGAAGAAGGGAAGAAGAGGAGAGGGGGAAAAGGAAGAAAGGAAGAAGGGGAGAGGGGGAGAAGGAAGAAAGGAAGAAGGGGAGAAGGGAAAAAGGGAAGAAGGGAAAGAAGGGAGAAGGAGAGAAGAAGAGAAAGGAAGAAGGGAAGGTGTTTCCACGCCCCACTCGCGCCCCCACGTGTCCCCCCCCCCCCTTCCCGGCTCGTCTGGCGTGGGAACACTCACCTTCCTCTTGTGGCGGTGGATGTCGCCGATGGAATTGGCCACGGTGTTGGGTCCCAGCAGCATTCGGGTGCTCCGGGGCCACTCGGTGCTCACCAGGTGGTGCTCCCCCATCAAGATCTTCCGCACGTTCTCCGCCCCCGTCACCCGCACCAGCGGCCGCCCCAGCAAGTGCGTCTTGAAGACGTTGCCGTACTTCTCCCGCCGGGAAGATTGGAAGCAGGAGCCCTGCGGGGGTGGGTCGGGGTCGGGAGGGGGAAGAAGAGCGGAGGGGGGGTCGGTGTTACCCCACGGCACCTCCGCGGGGTAGCGAGAGGGGGGGGAGTCTGGGGGGGTAACGCGGATGGGGTGTGAGGGGGGGTGTAGAAATGGGGTAACCCCGGAATTCCCACCCGGAGCACGGCCCCGCTCCCTCCGACGGGGCGCCCGGCGCTGCCCGCCCGCTCCTCCCGCAGCCCGGCGGGGGTCGGTGCCCTCCGCCCCCCTTCCTCCTCCTCCTCCTCCTCCCTTTACCTTCCCAATCACATTTAAACCTATTTTTATTTTCCCTTCTCTCCCCCCACCCCCAATTTTTTCCTCCTTCCTTCCCCCCCCGCCTTTTTTTCCCCCTCTTTTTTTTTCGTCTGTCTTTTTTTTCCCCCTTCCTTCTCTCTCGGGCTGATTTTACTCGAAAGGCTGCAATTTGCTTTAAGTAAATCTCCAGATTTCAGGGAGTTTAATAACTTTCCCACATGCTCCAGGGGCTTTTGTCGGCAAAGAGGCGGACGGAGCCGCAGGAATAGCCGGGGGAGGGGGGGGTCCCCCCAAAAAAACCCCCCCATCCCGAGCGGGGAGAGGCGCTGCGAGCGCCGCAGCCGCGGTGCTGGGGGTGTGAGTGCGTGTGTTTATTTTGAAACAAAAGCGCGGTTGTGAGGTTTCAGATGTTCAGGTGACCCTGTTTCTTGATCTGCGTAAATATAATTAAAGTCCTTTTTGTGGCATTAATAAAGAGTTATTTGTACACCATTTCCAGGGCAGCACAAAGAGGACCTTTATGTGGCAGAAGTTTCGAATGGAGTCCAATTTATACAAAATTTTGTATTTTTAGCCCTGCGCTCTGTTTGGACGGAGCCTGTGGAAAAGCGAGAACCCTTTTCTGGTCCCCCCGTAAAAATCTGATAAATTTCTTTAAAAAATAAAGCCCTATTGAGAGCGTGCCGTTAACCCCTTCGGCGCCGGGGGGCCGGCGGGGCAGCGGGGCCGCCGTGTCGGGGCTTCCCCGGCGCCGGAGGGGGGGGGACGGGGACACACACACCGGGGGACGCCGCCGCTCTCCCCGCCGGGACCGGGCTCTGCCCTGCCCCGGGCGGCTCCGTCAATGAAAGAAAGGCGGGAGCATCCTCGCCGGGTTCCCGTTTGATTATTAGAATTATTCGGATTATTTTTTTGCTGGAGCGGGAAACCCTCGGGCTCGTTTAGCTCGGGGAGGGGGGGGTTCCCTCCCGGGATGCTGCGAAACCCCCCCCCGGCTGCCCCCGGCGCGGGGCAACCCCCCGTTCGCCTCCCTCCCGCTCTCCTCCTCTTTTATTTTGGTCTTTTTCGCTGGTTTTTTTGGCAGTCTCCCTCTCGCCTCGCGGGCCGAGGGGATCCCGCTCCGCCCGCCGCTTGTTGGGCGTTTAGCGAGGTTAATCCCGGGTTAATCTCCCGATTACCTCCGCGGGCTTCCCCCACGGGCGGACCGGAGAGAAAACCCGCCCGGAGAAGCCCCCGGGGAAGGCGGATGGGACGGGACGGAGACCCCGGGAGTGGAGGGGGGGGGGGACACAACCGGAGGAGCCCCCGCGCCGCGCCGGCCGCATCCAGCCGGGGCTGCCTCCCACATCCAGCCGGGGCTGCCTCCCACACCCTCGGCTTCGGCACAACCGAGCGTTCGGCGAGGATTTCGGCCGAGGACGGGGATGAAGGAAGGGGTTTGGCAGCCTTAGGGGCGACCCCCGAGCCTTCGCAGCCCCGCGGAGCCCGGCCGGGAGCGCAGCGCGGGGCGAGCCCAGCCCGGCCCGGCTTCCCTCCCGTCTCCCCCCCTCCCGGCATCCAACACCAACCCCCCCCCGGGCGCCGGCTCCCTCCTCCCCAGCTCGCCGAGAACCCGCATGATGCAATCGAGAGGGAAAGAAGAATTAAAAAAAAAAAAAAAAAA